GGATTAAATTACCCACTTATAAGATATAGAAAAGCTGAATGGATGGTTTTTTTTTAACCAACTATATATGCTGCCTACAAGAAACTTACTTCACCTATAAAGACACATACATAGACTGAAAGTGAAGGAATAGAAAAAGACATTCCACACAAACAGAAACCAAAAGTGAGCAGGAATAGCTATACTCATGTCAGATAAAACAGATTTTAAGTCAAAAACACTAAAAAGAAACAAAGAAGGCCATTATATAATGATAAAGGGATCAATTAAGCAAGAGGATATAATAATTATATATATATATAGGTACCCAAGAGTGGAGCACCCAGATATACAAAGCAAATACTATGAGATCTAAAGGGAGAGATGGACTCCAATACAGTAACAGTTGGGGACTACTACATCCCACTGTCAGCACTGGACAGATCATCTAGACAGAAATACAAAGAAACACTGGATTCAAACTGCACTTTAGGCCAAATGGACCACAGACATTAATGGAACATTTCATACAACTGCTGCAGAATGCACATTCTTCTCATTAGCACAGGAATAATTCTCCAGGACAGACCATATATTAGTACACAAAACAAGTCTCAATGAATTTTAAAAAATCAAAATCACATCAAGTATGTTCTCATACCACAATGGAATAAAACTACATATCGGTAACAAGAAAAACTTCAGAAACTGAGCACATACATGGAAATTAAACAACATGTTCCTGAATAACCACTAAGCCAATAAAGAAATTAAGAAGGAAATTAAAATATTTCTTGAAACAAATGAACATGGAAACACAACATACCAATTTCTCTCCTAAGATAAAAAGGTAACTAAGTCTTTTAGAGAGAAATTAACTGTATCTAAAAAGTAATACTTGAGTATATTATGATACCACAAGTTTCAATTACCATTTTTATGTTATTCAAAACCGAAAAAAAAAGAAAAAAAACAAGCATATGTCAACCACTGCATTTTGGCAACTACCCCTTTTTAGTGAACCATGACAACTTATTAAGGGTTAGGTCAATTTTTAATGTCAAACATTGTGAGTGATGTGATTTTTTAACCAACTTCAGTGTAGTTTTATGCTTGTATTTCCTCCTCTCAGTTTATCCCATTGGCTTAGGAGTTTTGGGAAGGTGCGGGGACATGGTAAAAAGTAGTTCAGAATTCAACAAAGGTCAGGTACTCAGAGTTATAAGTATACATATCCCATACAAATAAATCAAGAATTTAACTGTTCTTTCCTAATTTGCATTTTTGAGTACCAAAGGCGAATTTCAAAGGTTCTCTTAGGAAAACTGATATAAACTTTAAAATGTGAGAATAGAGCCACTTGAAAATATATATGATCCATGTTTTTAGCAATGCCAGTTCTACATCCCAGTTCTGTGCTGATTTACATAAGTCTGTATCAATTGTATTTCTCTATGTTTTAGGGAATGCATCTAAATGGAAGCGGAACTGAGTTCAAAGGCATAATGAATGTACTTATCTATTCTTTTTTTTTTTTTTTTTT